AAAAATAAATTATTTTGTTATTAAATCTAAATTAAATTATAATAAAAAAATAAATTAGAGAAGTTACACCAAAAAAACAAGAACTATTAAATAATTAATTTGATACTAATATCGATTTTTTTTAGTATATATTTCATTCAAAAATAAAAACATTATCGTTTTCTCAAAAATACATAAAATTGTATTATATCGATAGAGAAAGAATAAAGACTAAACATTAAAATCGATTTATCTCGTTGCATTACACGAGTACCCTTCTAGTACTATATTATGTATATATTATCCCTTATATATTATTATTTTAAGTTAAGTTATATAACTACTTTGTACATTTATTTTTTAAGTGTGTGTATAAATATATATATATATATATATATATTCATCAATACATCGACACACATTATATATTATTATTATTATATTAATGATATATCCATACTTATATGACTAATTGCAATATTAGCCCCGAAAACACGCTAAAAATATAATGACTTGAAAAATGAATGAGATATTCATAAGATGATTTCAAAAGCCTAACCACTCTTACAAAAAGTAGTATTTTAAATTTTTTTAGGTTATTTTAATATTTTTAAAATAATGTAATTTAAAAATTATGAAAGAAAATAAAATTAAAGAATTAATATCGTACAACAGTGCAACTCATAGAGTCATGGTCGTCCCTTAGCATGTTAAATGTGTGATTTTGAACAAGGCCTCCAAAATTTTGAGGCTCAATTTTTCATATGTTTAGGACATATTCATCAATATGTGTAAAACTATAGTCCAAATTGTTAATTATTTAGCTTTAGATTTAAATTATTAATGGTTTAGGTTCAAATTGTTGATCGTTTAGAATTAACGTTCTTTTGTGTTTAACATATATGTATCAATGTTATCTCTTATGCAATGTCATCAAAAAAAAAAAAATATTTATATTAATAAGTATTTATTTATTTTTAAATAAAAGTAAAAAAAACTCTTAGGGGCTGTTTGTTTGCCTCTTAATGTTGACATTAAGAGGGAGCCTCTTAATCGGTAAGAGGCAGAGGCTGTTTGGCAAAAAAATGGAACCTCTTAATGGTGACAATTACCTCATAACGATTTTGCATCTAATGGGTTGCCTTATGGTTCAGAGGCTTATTTTTCCAGGATTACCCTTCCCCACATCTCCTCTCCTTCCAGCTTCATCCTTCCCCCTCCTCCTCCCACGCTTCCTTCTTCCTCCCAAACGATCTTGCCAATCTCTCCATCTCACAGACCTGCCTCCTTTTTCATTCCCTTTCTCCGACAATGGCATCGGCGACTAGGCCCGCCTCCTGCTTCTCCGATGATTCTGCTCAGGTCCGCCTCTGCTCAGGTCATCGATGCCAAACAGTGTCCAGGTCATCAGTCAAAGCTTTGGTGATTCAGATATAAAGTCGGCCTCCATTTCGATTCCAAGCTACCCAAACCCAACCTCCCATAATCAATTCATGTTCTTCACACGTCAAAACCCTCATAAACCTCCATTGGCAAAACCCTATTCCCAGTTTCTGGTTTGCCGAAGCCGATCTTGAAATTCTCATCACAAAACGTGTAGCGATCGACATATTGAGCCAACAACAGCCCTATTTTCGATCATAACACAGTTTATGGAATATATAAATGAAATTAATTTGGTTGAGGAATTCGGAGAAGAAGCAGAGAAGAGGAAGTGCTTACATAAAACATAGGAGATACATCCTAAATTAATTAGGGATGTTTGTTGATAAATGGGTATTTGCATCATGATTTTGCTGTATATGCATAACTTGGTTGTGAAATCATGAAGATACATCATAAATCTTTCGAAGGGTTAAAATGGTAATTTATTGTCATTCAGAGAACAGTTACCAAACAACATTATTTTATTCAGCACTTAACCATTCTGACCCTCTTAACCATTCTGACCTCTTAACTATTCTGCACTAAATCATTCAGCAACTGCCAAACAGCCCCTTAGCGTATATGATAAAATGTTTATAATGTTTTATATAATATAAATGATAATATATATATATATATATATATATATTAAAATATAATATAAATAAATAAATAAAAACTAAAAATTAATTAATTAATAATTTATATTAATTAAAATCAATATATATATCTATACTATATTATAAAGCATTTGGCTAAAACTCTTAAAACTCTTAAACTCTTAAACTCTTAAAAACTCTTAAACCCATTCATCTCTATCCGATTTCATCCCATATCTGAATTCGTGTAACTAACTGTAGATAAATACAATCAAATACAGGATAAACATCTCATTTTAAATATAAAAAATCTAAAATATAATTAGGATAATCATTAAGTTCTAACAAAATATTTAATTATTAT